AGAGTTTCGCTGTTGTTGTCGCCCAGGGTGGCGTCCAGTGGCAGCGATCTCGGCTCACTGCAACCTCCGCCTCCCAGGTTCAAGTGATTCTCCTGGCTTGGCTTCCTGAGTCCTGGATTACAGGCAGGCGCCACCACACCTAGCTAATTTTTATAGTTTTAATAGAGACAGGGTTTCACCGCGTTGGTCAGGCTGGTTTCCAGCTTCCGACTTCAGGCGATCCCCTCGGCCTCCCAAAATGCTGGGATTACAAGTGTGAGACATGGCACTCAGCAATAAGTTCTTTCTCAAAGATATTTCCACCTTTAGCTGACAAAATCCCAAAAATGTATATCAATAATTTATTTTTAAAAACTTCTCAAAGATCATTTAGAAAGATTATCACAATAGAAAAAGTTTAAAAAATTGCACAGACCCCTGAAAATACGATTATATACATTTTCTTTTTTTGTTTTGTTTTGTCTTGTTTTGGTTTCTTGAGATGGAGTTTCACTCAGGCTGGCGTGCAGTGGCACCATCTCGGCTCACCGCAACCTCTGCCTCCTGGGTTCAAGCGATTCTCCTGGTCAGGCTCCCAAGTAGCGGGGATTACAGGTGTGCATCAGCATGCCCAGCTAATTATTTTTTTTTGAGACTGAGTTTTGCTCTTGTCCCCCAGGCTGGAGTGCAATGGTGCTCTCAGCTCAGTGCAGCATCCACCTCCCGGGGTCAAGCAATTCTCCTGCCTCAACCTCCCGAGTAGCTGGGATTACAGGTGCCTGCCACCACTACCTGCTAATTTTTTTGTATTTTTAGTAAAGACGGGTTTTGTCATGTTAGCCAGGTTGATCTCGAACTCCTGACCTCAAGTGATCTGCCCACCTCGGCCTCCCAAAGTGCTGGGATTACAAGCATGAGCCACTGTGCTCAGCCTGATTATATATATATTTCAATAAACATATATGAAAATGGTCTCAGGCTTTTTAATAATTAGAAGACCAAAACAAATAAAAATAACATTACCCACTATCCAGAATATATCAAAGATAGACTGACAAAGCCAGGTGTTGGAAAGGACATCTAATTAGAATGCTCTTAAACTTGTGGTTGGGTTGTATATTAGTGAAAAAAAATTTGGAATTAAAAAAATTTAATTGATAAATTGTATGTATTTCTGGTGCACCTCATTTTATATATATGCACACATACACACACACACATTGTAGAATAGTGAAGTGTGTGTGTGTGTGTGTGTGTGCATGTATATCTCCACAGACATACATTGCAGAATGGCTGAATCAAGCTATGTAGCATGTCAGTTACCTTAGATACTTATCATTTTTGTGTGGTGAAAACATTTAAAACCTGCTGTCTTAGCGATTTCAAGCATTACCACAGTGTTATTAACTAGAGTCAACATGTGAAGTTTTTGGTGACGTGCATTGCATTTGAACATAGGCAGTTACTATGACCAAGCTATTTTACTTGTAGGTCTGTACTTAACTAAAATATCTATACATGTGTACCAAAAGAAATTAACAAGTGTGTTTGTAGTGGCTTTATTGCTAATAGCCCCAAACTGGAAACAAACCAGTGTCCATCAGCAGTAGAATTGAGACATGTGTCGTATTCACGCAGAGCACCACCGAGCAGGGAAAAGAAATGAACTGCCTCATGAAAGCACATGAGGGAGCGTCACAAATGTGATGCTGGGCCAAGGAAGCCACACACACAACTATTCCTACTGAATGGCCCTCCGTGAATCCATTCATGAAACAGGCAGCACTAATTGGGGCTGCTAAAAACCAGGTGATTATTTGCTTTGGCAAGACAGATGGGCAGTGGTTAGGGAGCAGACCTTCAGGAGAAGGATTTCCAGATTGTTATTTTTATTTCATTTTCTTGGACTGTGTGGTAGGTCCAAACATGGATTCTCTTTGAGATAAATCACTGAGTAGTAGAATACTAGGATTATTGTACATTATACTATAGTATACTTTAGTAAATGTATTTGAATTCATTTTTGCCATCAGAACAAATAATATACATCACAATACATCTTTGCAATTTTAATATTATTTCTGGTTGATAAAAAATAAGTTACCCAAAGGATTCCAAACTTGGATATTTCAATATAGAACTTATGTGTGCAAATACATATTTCTGGAGATCCACAACTATGTAATGTCATTAGAATATGAAAAAGCACAGTTATGTTTACAATTTGCTGACTCTCTAACCTTTTACTTTAAGTTAAGCTAAAGCAGCCGGGCGCGGTGGCTCACGCCTGTAATCCCAGCACTTTGGGAGGCCGAGGCGGGTGGATCACGAGGTCAAGAGATCGAGACCATCCTGGTCCACATGGTGAAACCCCGTCTCTACTAAAAATACAAAAAATCAGCTGGGCATGGTGGTGCATGCCTGTAATCCCAGTTACTCAGGAGACTGAGACAGGAGAATTGCCTGAACCC